ATTAGGGAAGGAGCAACCTGCTCCTTCAGGAGTGGGGACCGCCTGCCACAGGACCTGTCTTCCTGGCTGGGGTGGGTGGGTGGGGCCACAGGGGGAGGTAGAGGAGAGGGTACCCGCAGGCCAGCTGCAGAGCGGATGTCCACGATGGTGAGCACTGTCTCAAACAGGACCGCGCTGCCTGCATTTCGGCTGGTGTCTGTGTTAGTGGCCACCTGAATGGGTGGGACAGAAGGTGCATGTAAAATGGGCCCTGTCCTCTCCTCAAGTCTCTGGAAGGTTCTCCACAAAGTCACTCAGTCCTCAACCAGCTAACAAAGTTCCCTACGCCCCACACACTACGTGCCAGAGACTACCATACTGAGGCAGGCTGTGTCCCTCATGGATATCGCAGGCTGGAGGGAAACGGTGATTATATGGCCACCTCATGGTGAGTTACCATGTGGGAGCTGCCGAGCTGGGATCACAGAGCAGCATACTTAACCAGCGCCCCTCCCCGTCCCCCACCTGGGCCAGCAAGTCATTCATGCTCTCACTGCTCTCCTCGTGGTTCCGGCCCAGAATCCGAAGCAGACGAAGTATCTGGACCTGCATTTGGGTCAAAGGTGGAGAGGTTCTTAGGGTAAGGAGCCAAGGGGCTGAGGAGAAAAATCTGACATGGAGGAGAGCATTGGGAGGGTCTGGCGGATTTCCTATAGCTTCTCTGTCCCTCTGCCTCGGCGCCACAGGTCCCGTAGGCCCTGGGAGGGACCCAGAGATGTGTGAGGCCAGGGGACTGGGGGACAGGCTGTTTTTTTACTTGTTAGTAAACTGGATTTTCTGACCTTTAGGCATCCCTTCCCTGCACTGGTCCTCGGGTGACCTGGGCAGTCCTGTGCCTGCCACCCTACCCTGCCCAAGACACTAACTGAGCCAAAGTGTTCTCCGGGAGGTGACCACTGGCCATGGGCTTACTGCCACGCTCTCTGTTCCAGGGACACCGCCGAGAAGCTCAGCCCACCTGTAGGAAGGGGTCACTGACTCCAGATATGCTGTGTTCGGTGGAGTATCCCGTCGTCGACACCAGAGTCCGGAGGATCTGCACCAGCTGGGGCACCACCTGGAGGGAGGCACAGCCTTATCTGGGCAGTCTTCCTCGTCTTCTCAGCCATCAGCCCCATCCCAGCCCCACTGCCCCTCTTTTCCTGGCCCAGGGCCTGTCCCTTCACCAGCCCACCTTTCGAAAGTGCTTGAGGGCTGCAGGGCTTCGTTCGCAGAGCTCTGTGATCAGCGTGATGGTGCCCAGCAGGACGCCTGGTGTCAGGGCAGGGGAAGTGAATGGTGGGCCAGGGGCACAGGAGAGTCTACTGTGTGTGTGTGCGCACATACTACCCTTATCCAGGGAGCTACGGTTCCTGTCCCACTTTCCGCCTCTGGCCACAAGCCAGAGCTGAGGAGGGGATGGGGAACCCCGGGGTCTTACCGTGGTGACGTTCGTGAAGCAGTTTGGCACAAACTGGGAGGAAGGTGTCGGAGAGCTCAGGGACTTTTCGGATCATGTGCACCGCAGTCAGCACAGCCTGCAGAGGTAGGGGGCTCAGAGAGGACAGGGGTCTGCCAGGAGGGGCCCCCACCTCTGCAAACAGGACAGTTTCCGGAGGGACAAGTCTCTAGAGTCCCGCCATCTCACCTTCTTACGCAAGTAGGGGCTTCGTTCCAGGAGCAGTTTCTCCACCTCGGTAGCCAGGTCCCGGCACATCTCGGCAGAGCCCATAGTGCTCAGAGTGCACAGGGCCAGGCCTTGTACGGCCTGAATACCCTGGCTCAGGTCGCTGTAGAGTTTTGGGAGGACCGTCAGTCCTTCCCTACCTACAGCAGGCAGCGCCCCGGGAGCCCCCAGTTCCCCACTCTCCCATCTCCCTGGTCCCAAGTGCTTCCCAGAAGCTCTTACTTCTTGATGCTGTTGGTAATGAGCAGGTGGGCATCCTGCCTCTCATCCAGTAGCAGCATGGCCCCCAGGTAGCCCACCCTCTTGTCTATGAACCTGGGGGAGGCGATCAGTTTCAGGCACTCCATCTATAGGGAAAGAGGCAGACCCGGAAGGGACAGGAGTGAAACTGGAGGCACCAACATCCCTTTTCTAGCTTCCTCCTCAACACCAGGTTCAGTTTTCAGGGCACCAGGTCCCATCACCCTCCCTTCAGCAAAAGGAGAGGCCCAGAACATTCCGAGTTGGTGGGTAGCTTCAAGAAAAGGAGGTTGAGGAGAATGGGAGAGGAGAGTAAGTGCCCCAATGGGGCTGGCCAGAGAATGCAGGGTTCGGTCCACCTGATGACCAACAGGGGCTGCACTGGGGAAGGGGGTCGGTGCTGCATGCTGTGAGGGCTTGGCACATTGCAGAATTAAAACAACAACAACAACATCAACAACAACAAAAAACAGGGCAGCACAAATAGGCGAGCAGGCCCAAGGCCCTATCCCAACAGCCGCCCTCCTCAAACGCAGGAGGCAGGCACCCCGGGGCGGTACCTGTCCAAAGTGGGCGGGGTAGCCCAGCATGTGGACATAGAGCAGCTTGGCCAGCTGGCGGTGCCGGTGCAGGGGGTCCCCATCGCGGAAGGAGGCCCGGATGTGGGCGCACTCCTTCTGGATCACTTCCCGCTCCTGCGCCTGCGTCTTGGCCCCTCGGATCTCCTCGATCAGATCCTGAAGCTTCAGCGAAGACATCACCATCCTGGGGGCGGCGTGGGGGGAGCATAACCCGGGGAGGGAGAGGGCTGTCACCGCCGCCGGCCTTCCTGCCCAGGCTTGCCGGGTGCCAAGGCCCCGAAGGCCGGGGGGTTCCCCGGCTCCCCTAAAACTGAGCCTGCCTGCACCTTTCCCCGCGGAAGCCTCCAAGCCCCGCCCCCTTCTCCCCGCGGAGGCGACCCCCACTACGCATGCGTCCCCACCCCGCCCCGCCCCGCACGCGCCCCGACTGAGCATGCGGGGGAGCCCCGCCTGTTCGCCCCCTCCGCCCCGCCGGGCGCCCCATCCCTGGCTCAGCCGGGCCTTTCCTTCCGGGGCTCCGCGCTGCTGCCCCCCCACGAGGTTCCTCCCGGCGCCCCATCCCAGAGCCCCGGCTCCCCGCACGGACGCCAGCCTCACCTGGCTGCGGGCTCGGCTCGCTCCGCTCCCCCCGGCGTTTCCTGGTGCAGCGCCGGGCGGGGCTGGGTGCTCCGCCTGGTCCTCCCCTCTCCCCGCCCCCACCGCGGGACCGCCCCCCTCGGCCGCTCCGCCGAGCCGTCTTGGGGACTCTGACCTCGGGCTTGGAGGTTAGGGGAAGAACTCCCAGCCGCACAGGCGCCTTGAGGCTGCCCACAGGCCTGAGGATCCCCCAGGGGGCCCCACGCGGGGACCCTCGGGGAGCTTAGGTTTGAACCCATCGCACCCCAAAGGAGACGACAGTCCCCCCCTTTTTTGAACTTTTTTATTAATATATTTTTTTTTGTTAAATTTCTTTGTAATTTTTTTTTTTTTTTCCTGCAAGACTTGGTGTTGGCGGCACTGTTTGTAGTTTAACGTCAATCCCAAATTCCATGAAGTAGAAACCAGAAGTCAGGGTTGAGGGGGAAGGAAGGAAGGTGGCAGGCCAAGGAGTCAACAGAGTTTGACTAGAAAAAACAGAAGAGAAGTGTGTGTGTCTGTGTGTGTGGTGTGTGTGTGTGTGGTGGGCATTCCCAGGCAAGGCCATTCCTTGAGGGGGGTTTGGCAGGCAGCTTGCCTCTGCCTCATGCAGGGGAGGGAGGAAAGATCCCCTGGGGACCACACAGTCCCCTCTGCCTAGGGCTTCCTGCCCCCAGGGGAGAAGTTAGTACCAGGGATCAGCCACATCCTCAAACAGGGCTCTCCACCCACCTCTGCCCTGCCTGGAAAAGCGTATGATATACATCGGCTTCCTGTGATCCCCTTTTCTGTTTACCCATTTCACAAGATTCTGATATGATGCAGGAAGATATATAACCTACTAAGAGATAAAGCTTGTCACAACTTTTGCTGCCCTGTGAGTTCCTGTCAACTGGTCATGCTCCATTCCCCAAAACTGCCTCCCTCAACACAACTGCCGGAGTTGGGGAGTGGTGTCCTTGCTCAAGTGCCTCTAACCCTCTGCATGTCTTCTTCAGGCCCCTTAGACATTTAATCAAAGGCCACAAGTGAGTCCAGACCAACCAAATAACTCTTAGGGGAGAGAGAGGGTGGGAGAGGTCAGTGGGTGGACTTGGCTGCATTGGGCTCTTTCCTTCCTTCACACGTTGCTCTTGATGCGGCATGGCACCCAGGGGGTTGAGGAAAGAAAGTGGGAGATGCTAGGGAGTCATGCCTCTTCATTTCCCTTCACATCTCTTTTTCAGGGAAGGCTGGAACTAGGGAAGAACCTGAGTGCTTGGAGGGGAGATAGGATCCTCCAAAGTCAGAGGTGGTGACTGTACCTCCTCCAGTTTTTTCACGAGGCCTCAGAGGGGCATCAGGGCCCTGGGTTAGGGAGCCACAGAACTCGATCAGTGCCTTGACCAGTACAGTCCCTCCATTTTCTTCCTCCTTTTTCACTCACCTTCCAGGAGACTCCTCAGGACACCAAAACCCCACCCCCATCCAAGCTCAGGTCTAAAGAAAAGATGGGCAGGGTGTGGGGCAATGGTCTGACTTAGATTTGTGTGTCTCAGAGAAGAGAGAAACTCTGAGCAAGAAAAGCCCTTCATATGTAAACAATCTAGAGAAAGAAAGAGTTGGGGTGGGACCGGGATTGAGGAAGATAAGAGACAGATCCAGAATAAATGAGAGAATCTGAAAGGAGAGTAGGAAAGAAAAAAAGCAAGAGATAAGAACAAAGGAAAACAGAAAAGGGAAGGGAGAAGAGGGGGAAAAAATATAGGAGAAAACACAAGCAGGAGGAGGAAAAGGGAAAAAAAAAAAAAAAAAAAAAAAGGCAGATCAAAGGAGTGAAGAGGCAGCAACCGAAGCCAGAATTAGGCCAGGCAGGAGCCTTAGGTGAGGAGCTGGGAGAACAGGAACGCCAGGCTGAGGTCCAGGAGGGCCACGGCTCCCACCACCAGGGGGTTGGCAGCTCCCTAGAGAGACAGGGAAAATGCAGCTCAGGCCCTGGGCACCAGGTCCAGTGACCCGTCTCACCTTCCTGCCCTGGCCAAGGTGGCAAAGCAGAAGGGCCCCAGACACTTCTCCTTAGAGGCCAGAGCACGGAGATTATCAACTTTTGTCTTGGATTACAAAACACTCCTCTGCTCCCAGCCAGGGCCCCGCCTTCCTTCTGGCTTCTTTAAGTCAGGAATAACCCTCCCTCCCTCCTCCTTCCACTCTACTCCCACAGCATGTCACATGGCCCAGGCAGAAGGTGTCTGGCCTTGGTAGCATACATTGGCAGCAGCAGCTGGTACTGCAGTAAAGCAGGGAGGGATGAGGATGTGGTTGCTAGGAAACAGAAGGCCTGGAGTCCAATCAGAATAGAGGGTTCTGGGGAAACTCCACCCCTCTTAGTTTTCTGCCTTTTTTCCTATTTCCCTTCTTCCCAGAAGAGGGAGGGAGAGTTGGGGCAGGGAGGGAACAAACTTTTCCTTTTTTATTTCTGGGCACCAAAGAGAGAAAGTGTGGAGGTGGGGTGGGGGTGGAGTGGGAAAATGGGAGCTGGAAATGAGATGGAAGGAGAACAGGGAAAGAGGTTCTGGCTCTACCGTTAATGGTTCATTTGTAACCTTGGGCTAGTTACTTTAAGAGCCTCGTGACTCAGTTTCCCCTTCTGTCAAAAGAGGTGATTGGGCATGATGGTCTCTAAGGTTTCTGCCAGCTCTCAAGTTTTTAAATATGTCTGAGGCAGGATATAGTGTAAGACTGGGCAGGCACAGGGAAAGCTGGAGCCAAGGCTGTGAGAAGAAGAGGGTCAGAAAGGAGTGAGACTCAGGGCACAAAGCGGGGGAGGAAGGATGTCTGTCTCACCGGCTGAGCTGGCCTCTCGGTGGCAGCTGGCTCCTCAAGCTCTTCCATCAGGCATCCAGCTTCAGGACCCCTGGAGGAGGGGCCCCGCGGGGCTGGCGTGGCCAGAGGCTCAGGCTCCGAGGCCCCGAGGGTCCTTAGGAGGGGCAAGGGCTCTTCGTCTTCCCCCTCCTCCTCGCGAAGACTTCCGGAACTGTCACTGCAGCCTCCGCGGAGGGAGGAACCGTCTCTGGGCCCTGGGCCCTGGATCCCAGCCTCATCCTCGGCCTCATAGCCAGCTAGTTCCTCTGCCTGTCCCCCCTGACCCCCCCACTCCTCGGGCCAAGTTTTAGGGCTGGAGAAGGGACCCCGGTCCCTTCCAGGAGGCAGTGGGTTCCGGCAGGCTGGGGGCCGCCAGGGCTGGCGGCAGGAGGCAGGGCTGCTGGGCAGTTCAGGGGAGCCCTCGGAGGGGGTCAGTCCATTCTCGTACACTCCAGGGCTGTCCTCGTCCAGGGGCTCTGTGTCCGAACCTTCTGAGTCCTGCCTGGGTCTGCGGCCTGGGGCAGGGAGAGCTGAGAATCAGAGGGGCCGACGTGCCTTGGGCTGCAAAAGCTTTATCCCTCCAACGGGGCACCTACCAGGACTTTGGGATCCCCAAACTTACAGCAAATCATTGCAAGGCCCAACTCCTAGTCCTTATTACCTTATTTTACCAATTCTCAGTTCCATCCCCAACCCTGCCACCCTCTGTCCTCTCAAACCCTCATATCTGGGCTTTCCCATCCCCAGTCTCCTGTGGAGATTCCCTTCCTTTTCCCCTTCCAGCTCCCCAGGGGGCTCACCCCCACCGCCAGCCCCCCATGCCTCACCTGGGGCCTCTAACATGGGCTGCAGGTCCTGGGCTATCAGTTTGGCCATTCGAGCAGCCTCCACAGCCTTCTCGGCCACGCTGCTGGCTGCTACTGCCTTCAGAAGGGCGTCTGCTGCCCTGTCAGGTTCCGGGGACAGGGATTTAGCAGATCTGCTCAGATGGTCCAGCCCCCTGGCCCATGTCCCCACCACAACACATCCCCTGTCCTTTGGTGTCCTCCCCAAGACCTTGGCTGTGCCCGCAGTCATCGTACCCTCCTGGTCCTCTCACCCTCCCACCATGACATTCTGTAGTAACACTTCCCTCCTCAAGCTACAGGCCAGGCCAGACCCTCCCCTGCTGCCCTCAACCCTATTATTCCATTCCTGTCCTGCTCCCTTCCTACCGAGAACTGAGACCTTACTCTTTCAGCACATCCCTCTGCAGTCCCACCTGCTTGGTGCTTACAAGTTCTGCCTGCCTGCCCTCTTTACTGCTGCTCCCTTCTGTTGTTATAAACTGGGATCACACAGCTTTTTGTGGGGTCCAGGATGTTTTTCTGTATCTCACCTCTGCCCTTCTAACAGCGTTGCCCTCCCTGCACCTAGCCTTTACTCTAAGCCAGGGGTCGCCAACCTTTTGGGCCACATGGACCACCACCGGTTGGCGGCTCTCAGCCACCCTCTCCCCGTGTTAGGGGCCTTTGCGCCCCCCCCCCCCCCACACACACACTGTTAGTCCTTATTGAGGCCTGCCTCTCCTTGCAGATTTCCTGACACGAGAATCTCACATCTTGCTTTTCCGCAGCCTCTTCATTGATTACATTGTTCTCTGCTTCCTCACTGCCACTGCTCCCCGCCCCATACTCCCCCCCCCCACCCCGTTCCTCTCGTTCCCCCCCCTCCCCTGCCCCATCTCATTCTTTCTGCATCTGGAAGTGGAGTAAGGGTGGGTTCCCCCCCTTTGCTATTATCTATTCTCTCTTCCTGCCAACAGGCATGCTTTCTCACCACTGGGTAATTCTACCTTCTGGGTTAGCTCCTGGTCTCCCTTCTACAGACCCGCTCCCATCCAGCCCTGCTCCTTAGGTACTGGGTACCTGGAAGCATTATCAATTCGTTCCCTGCTGTTGTTTCCCAGTTCTTTCTCTGATTGATAGACACTTTTTTTTAAAAAAAAACTTTCCATTCCTGTTCACCCTCTGTTGTTAATGGTAGATGCCTTGTAATCATTAAATCAGTTCTGTAATTCTGACTGATACACTTGCCATGGGTTTGAATGAGTCAAGACCCATGATTCCCTCTTGCCCCAGGCGCCTTTAACCTGGCCTAGGAAGACAGTCTAAGTCTGGGGGTGGTGTCCACTGCAGACTCAGGTCCACCTGCTCTGCCTGTCTCTTGGAAAATATGGTCAGCAAACCTGGTGGGTCAAGGACCTTAAGATCCTGCTTGGAGGGACCTCAGACAATGCTATTTGTCCATCTTAGGGCTTTCAGACTCTATATAGCCAGTCCTGTCCTAAAAAAACAAAAACAACCCCCCCTCCCCCCCACAGCAAAGCTGACTATATTTTTGACTGGGGAGGGTGTGGATGATCAAGTCCAGGCAGCAGACCCAGTCTGAGCTTTGGCATCAGGCCAGGCTCAGGCTACCTGGCAAAGGCATTTGCTGCTAAAGCTCTGCTGTTTCCATGGCAGCTCACAGCCAATCAGGTTTGCCAGGCCTGTTGCTGGGGAGACCAACCAGCCTCTTCCCACTGCTTGATCTTCCAGCTACTGAGATCCGTTTATTTTCCCTGCACATGCCCACTCCCCATCTAGCCTGAAGTACTCCTTGGTGCTCTGCCGTCCCCCTCCCCTGGCTTAAAGCCCAACCATCCAGATGCTCACACATGTATACAGAGAGACATTCTCTGGCTCAGGCACCTACTCTTGATATGACATGTACACACACATCCCTTGTCACTCATTATACAAATCCACTGAAGTATATTTAGACATATCTTATCTCCGATCCTCTGGAACAGTCTCAAAATTAAACAAAATCCTTCAACTGTGCCCTCCCCTTTAAATAAATCCAATATACGAAAATTCATATGTGTGAGTTGCATAAATCAGGGGCCTGTGGATTTCATTACAAATGGATTTTTGGCTCTCTTTAGATCTGGGCTACCTACTCCAGTCATCACAAGTCATATGTAGCTATTAAACACTTAAAACATGGCTAACCTGAATTGAAATGATATGCTATAGGTGTAAAATACATACTAGATGGCAAAGATTTAGTAAAAAAGGGGAGGGGATGTAAAATATCTCATTTATAATTATATATTAACCATGGGTTGAAGAGGTAATATTTTGGATATTTTGGTTTAAATAAAAACATATTATTTAAGCTCACCTAATCTGTTTCTTTTTCATATGGTATTAGAAGACTAAAAATCATGTATTTGCTTTACATTGTAGAGCCAGACAGCTCTGCTTTAAAGAACAGGTTTCCCGAAGGATGAAAATGTAATCTGATTTGCAGGAAAGAAATTCATTTAGCAGCAATGCTCCTCCCTTCAAATCTTTATCAGTGGGAAAATAACAGGAGGCAGAGGAGGCAAAGCTCAGAGGGACTTGGAACATGTGGTCCTTGTAAGTGGGTGGGTCAGTTGTACAAACTAGACCTTCCCAAGGCCCCAGGGGGATGCTATGGGACTGCGGGCAGGCTGAAGTGTGTGGGGAATGCCTGCTCTGTCTCCTTGCCCAGGGCTGCTGCTCCCCATCTGAGGCCTGAAGGCTAGATGGGCATCAAGAAGAGGAAGACTAGGAACATTTGTGAGTTCCACGAGGTTTCTGGGCCTGCCCAAGGCAGTGCTCATTGCTAATCCCACACACAGTGACACGTGTCCCCACAAAAGACACTGAGACACACTCACATTCTAACACGGCTTCCCTCAAATTCCCAGCCACCCACAGTCACACCCACATCCACCTGCAGCCTCAGAAAGAAACACTCCCAACACCCAGCGCTACAACGGCCTGACCCTAGGCCTGCTCTTCCCCCACTAGGCCCCAGGCCACGCTTCTGGGTCCTCCTTTAGGCGCCCACCCCCTTCCCCATCCCCAGGGTACCTTCTCCCCTTAGCCCAGCTTTGGCCTCTGCCCCCGGTGCCCACCTGGCAGCGGCAATCTCCTGGCGCTGGCGGGCAGCACTCACTGCTCGACGGGCGCCCTCGACGGCCCTGTCCACCTTCTCCTTGATCTTGCCCCGCCGCAGGGCCAGCGGCAGGAGGCTGCGCACGCGCCCCCCGTGCACCAGCCGGTTGCGCTTGTACTTGCCCTCCTCACGGGAGCCGTCGGGGCGGGTGGTGCGCCCGTAGCCGTGCCGCCGGTTGCCCAGCCACTCTCCCTCGTAGCGCAGCCCGTTGGATCGCTGGCTCACGCCGTAGCCGCTGCGCCGGTCTGCGCGCCATTCGCCCGCGTACACCTCGGTGGCGGAGCCCTCGATGAGGGCGGGCGGCGCCGGGGCCAGGGACCCGCTGGCCTCAGAGCCCGGGGGCCCCGTGCTGCCCACTTCGCTGCTCACCTCGCTGCGCAGGGAGCCCCGCTTGCTGCCCAGGGAGCCGCGGCGCCCGCCCGCGCGGAGCCCGCCGAGCAGCAGCGAGCGGCGGAAGAAGCCGCCGGCCACGGGGGTGCGCTTGCGGGAGGACGCGCGGTCGGCGTCCCCGGGCCCGGCCAGCACGAAGCCGCCCCGGGAGCCGGAGGCCGGGCTGCCGCCCTCGTCGCCGGGCAGGGGCAGGGGCGGGGGAGGCGTCGGGGGGTCGCTGTGGCCGGAGTCCAGGGAGGTTCGGCGGGGCGAGCGCAGTAGCGCCGCCTGGTGGTAGGGCACGCTCTGGCGCACCCCGTAGCCGTGGCGCTTCCCGGCCTGCCACTGGCCCTGGTAGGTGCCTGCGGGCGAGGTGGGAGCGGGAGAGTGAATCAGGACCTGCTGCTCCCCGGACCCCGGGCCCCAAGCACCCCCGGAAGCCTTAGCGTGGAGGCGAGGGAAGGGCACTCGGGCTGGGGACAGGCCGGGCAGGGTCGGAAGGCGTGGGGAAGCGCAGTGGAGGCCGCCCAGCAGCAGAGGTGTGAATCTTGGCAGTGTGGGCAAGCAAGGGAAAGGGCGAGGCGCAGGCAGGCTGCGGTGTGTACTGGAGGACAGACTGACGGAGTGCATGAAGCAGCCATGTGACAAGCAAACAGGACGAGGAGGGGCAAGCCGAGCAAGGCAATGTGCGGGGCCAGGCAGAGCAGGGTGCTAGGGACAGGCAGGTGGAGAGGAGAGTGTGTGGCACCGGCAGGGAGCAGTGTGAGGGGCTGGCAGGTGGGGGTGGGAGGGTCAGGTAGACGGAGGGGGGCGGGGAGAGAGGAACAGGTAGTTTGGGGGGAAGAGGGAAGAGCGGGGGGGGGGGGCTGACAAACAAGTAGGGCGTGTGCGATGGGGGGAGGAGAGGACGGATCGATGGGTACAGGGGTGCCTGTGGATTGGGATGGGGATTGGATGGGGATGGGAAGGGAGCAGGGCGTGGGGGTGGGGAGCTATGGCAGGGGGAGGCATACGCGGGCCAGAGCGCCTGGGGGGCGCGGACGGACGAGCAGACAGACAGACGCAGGGGCCGGGCCCGCACCTCCGTCGGAGTAGGTCTCGGTGCCGTAGCCGTCCTGGAAGCCGTCCTTCCAGAGCCCGGCGTAGCGCAGGCCGGACGCGCTCTCCCACACGCCGCTGCGCCCCTTCAGCCCGCCCTGCCACTCGCCGCGGTAGGTCCAGCGGCTCTTGCGCTCCACGCCCAGCCCTTCGCGCTTGCCCTGCTGCCAGTGGCCCTGGTAGCTGTGCCCGCCGGGCCCCGTGAAGACGCCCAGCGACTCGAAGCCGTGCGCCCAGCAGCCGCTGTACTCGCCCTGGGCGCCGGGCCCGGTGCACACGCCGTAGCCATGTGCCCGCCCCGCCTCCCAGCCCCCCACGTAGCAGCCCCCGTCGTCAAAGTCGAACTTGCCCCCGGGGGACATGCATGTAGTTGGCGTGGCCTCAGCCCCCCGGCGGCGGCGGCTCAGCGCATCCCGGGGCCGGAGAGCCGGCTGGGGGCCTGGGAGCCGGGCGAGGCCTTGGGGGCGGGGGCAGCTAGACTGGGGCCGGGCGGGGGGGGCCCGGCGCGGGCTGGCAGGGCCGGACCCTCATCCTGAGTGGCTGCAGAGAAAGGGGGGGGGGAGTGGTGAGCAAGGCCCCTCCTCTTTGCCCGCGGGTCCCTGGCCCAGTGGCTCAGGGGCATTAGCGCCGCCCCACCCCACCCCCATCCCCCACCCCCCACCCCCCACCCTCGGGAGCATCTCACAGCAGCTCCTAAGCTTTGGAGGCGCGGGGGCTCCCTCACCTCCCTGTTCCTGGAGGGGACCGACCCCTCCCATGACTTTGGGTCCCAACCCCGAGCGGGAGTCCCCCTTCTCCAATCTAGAACCCCAACGTGTCCAGGGTGGAGGGTAGTTTTGGGGAGCAGGGTCCAGAGAAGGGGGCTGGGCAGAGTCTCAGGCCCCGCGCTGACTGGGCTGCTGCCAGGACCTATCTGTCTGGTTCTCTGGCTCCCAGGCAAAGGGGCGATGTGGCGGAGGAGGTCTGAGCAGGGTGGGCGGAGGGTTTGGTGGGGAAAAGGGTAGGGATGGGGAGGCTCTGCAGGGCAAACGCGAGGGTGGGGTGGGCAGACCGGCAGGAGGGAGCGGGTAGGTTACTCACCGTGTGGACTGGGGCTCAGGCTGCCTCCCGGGCGCGGCGTCCATGGCTGGGTACCTCCACGCCGACCTCGCCGAGACACACCAAGCCCCCTCCCCTTCCGGAGAGACTTGCTCCAACCCGGAGAGCAAAGGTGGGGAGCCCAGCGGGAAGACCAGGCGGGGTGTGTGTGTGTGTGGGGGGTGGGGAGGGCGAGGGAAGGGGGGAGAATAGTGTAGGGGGGAAATTCTGCCTCGGATGGAGATAGGGAAGAGAAGCTGCGAGCTGGGTGGAAAGGGAGAGGGGGCTACCGAGAAGGGGTGTTTTTATTATGTTTTTTTTTCTTCTTATGGTTGGGAGAGGGGGAAAAAAATATCAAAATACCGATTCCATCCCAGCACAAATCAATGTTTGCTCCATCCCAGCATCACGGGGGAGGCTGGGCCAGGCAGATTTAAAGGGGCAGGGAGAAGAGAGAGGAGGGGAAGGTGGGAGAGGAGATGGAAGAAGAGATAGCGGCGGCGACGGTAGCGGTGGTAGGAGAAGCACCGGCAGAAAAGGATGGATGCCCGATAAACTTGCCGTGAGGAGGCGGCAGGGAGACCCTAGAATGAGAGGCACGGAGACCCCCACGGTGGAACCCCCCACCCCAACCCCACCCCCACCCCAACCCCACCCCCTGAGATTTTGGCCGGCAGTGGGGCAAGGCCGAGGGGAGGGGAGAGGAGTAAGGGGGAGGAGATTAGCTGAAGATGGGGAGGCTGGGGGGAGGCCGAAGCCTGGCAGGGGAGGAGAGATGCTGGCAAGGAGGGCAAGGCGCTGAGAGGGCAAGAGGAATACAAAGGGAGAGGTGCAGGGGTGAGAGCTGAAGAGAAAGATGCTGGCGGAGAGGAAGGGAGGGAGACCCATTCTGGGGTTGGTGAAGGATGGAGAGGAGGAGAGGAGAGAAGCAGGGGAGGAGAAGGAGGGAGAAAAAGAAAAATTTACATATATATATATATATATATATATATATATATATATAGAGAGAGAGAGAGAGAGAGAGAGAGAGAGAGAGAAGGGTTGTGATGGAGAGGGAAAGCTCTGCAGGGAAGGGCAGAGAGGGGAAGCATGGAATCCAGGAGGAAGAGCCTGAGCCCAGGCTGGAGGGCGGGAGGGGTGTTGTGGGGTCTGGGGAGAAGGATGAACCTGCCAGCTGCTTGGACTGAAGCCAGGAAGCCTGTGATGTCTGTGTCCCCCGAGTCCGCTGTCCTCCCTAAGGAACCACTGCAGGGGGACCCGGAGGCTCCCCACTGCACCTGCTGAGGAAACTTGCTATGGGGCCCTGGCACCACCAGGGCTTTTCCAGACCTCGACATTCTTCACCCCCATCAACTATTCCTCTCGGGTAGTCCCTTTGAAGGCGAGGGCTGGCATGAGAGTGCACTGTTTTTGAATGGGGACCAGGGGGTCATGCTTGGTGGTGCCTTGAAGATGCTGGGGCTTTAGTCTCCTTTTTGCAAACCTTGAGGCAAAGGCACCTAGGCATGGTTGGGTGGGCCCTTACTGACGCGAGGTGTCCCCCCCCAACCTCCCGCAGCCTACGACCCCTCCCTGACCACTTTCCAGAGGGGTGGGTGGTGCGTCGTGGGCCACACTGTTCACAGCTGGAATAGGCACATGCTGTCTTCCCTGCCCCCTCGGCTCACTTAGACGCTGTGTCTGTGCTGCCCCTGAGCATCTAGGAAGAGGATATCGTCTAGTTACACCCACCCGCATGCATAGTGAGGCGTGCTCACTTGTCTTCATTTTCGTACCAGGTCACCCCATCATTTTATAAAGAAGAGAACTGAGGCCCAGAGGGGGAAGTCACTCACTGGAGGTCACACAGCAGAGGTGGCAGAGCTAGGATTAGAACATGAGACTTCAGACCTTTTCAGTCCCGTAATCCCTCCCAGAATTCTGTGTGCTCAAGAACCTCCTTTAGATTCAGGAGCTCCATTTTTTAAAATATATTTTATTGATTTTAGAGAGGAAGGGAGAGGGAAAGAGAGAGAGAGATAGAAACATCAGTGATGAGAGAGAATCAGTGATGGGCTGCCTCCTGCACGCCCCCTACTGGAGATCGAGCCCGCAACTCAGCATGTGCCCTTGGCCGGAATTGAACCTGGGACTCCTCAGTCCGCAGGCTGATGCTCTATCCATTGAGCCAAACCAGCTAGGGCAGGAGCTCCCTTTTTAATACTTTGGTAAAATACAGAGTATGAGGTTGGGAATCAACAGGACATTTCTTACATTTGTTTTCCTGAAGGTGGATATGAGGTTGGAGAATCGTACCTTTTAAGCCTCTAGGGCAGGGACTACATCTTAGTGCTTAGTGTGAAACAAGGCAGCTGTGGGTCCATTTGGGACAAGACTGGAGGTGAAGGGGTGCCCTTCTTTCCTTCCTTCCTTCCTCCCTCCTTCCTCTTCCCTTTCTTCCTTCCTTCCTTCCTCCCTTCCTTCCTTCCTCAAACATTTACGTTGTTTACTGTGTACCAGGCACATTGCCAAGGACTAGAGCGATACCATGGTGAACACTGGTGCTTGCTCTCTAGCAGTTTACTATCTAGTAGAGAAGGCAGACAACTAACAAGCAATTCTAATGGAGTTAGTGCTGTGATGGGTTCAAGGGCTGGAAATAGGGCCCAGGGATGCAACCTAACTTAGGTGGGCTCCTCAGGGCAAGAGGCGTTTAAGCGGGCACTCTGGGGCAGGTCCCACTGCATCACATCCCTTACCCCTATGTGTTCAAGCCCTCCTTCTTCACACAGTGCCTTGTCTTGTTCAGTCCTCAATATTCTGCTTTTCTCCAAGAAAAGGGAAAAAAAAAAAAGACCAGTTTATTGGCCTGGTGAAACCTGTGCCTTTAGAAAAAATTAAAAAATATATATTTTAAATAAATATATTTTATTAATTTTTTACAGAGAGGAAGGGAGAGGGATAGAGCTAGAAACATTGATGAGAGAGAAACATCGAGCAGCTGCCTCCTGCACACCCCCTATTGGAGATATGCCCGCAACCAAGGTACATGCCCTTGACCAGAATCGAACCAGGACCCTTCAGTTCACGGGGCCTATACTCTATCCACTGAGCCAAAAGCCGGTTAGGTGTTCCCTGTTCTTCTTCTTTTTTTTTTTTTAATCAATCTTTATTGTTCATATTATTACAAAGGTTCCTCATTTCTTCCCCCTCCACCAGGTTCCCACCTCACCCTCTGCCCTTTCTCCACCCCCCATTGTCCTCATCCATAGCTGCACAGTTTATGTTCAGTCTCTTCCCACATCCACCATTCCACTCACCCCCCACACACCCCGAATTGTCAGTCCACTCCCCTCCCGTATCTCTGATTTAAAAAAAATATATATTTTTTATTGATTTTTTACAGAGAGGAAGGGAGAGAGAGTTAGAAACGTCGATGAGAGAGAAACATCGACCAGCTGCCTCCTGCACAACCCCCACCGGGGATGTGCCCGCAACCAATGTACATACCCTTGACCGGAATCGAACCTGGGACCCTTCAGTCCACAGACAGACGCTCTACCACTGAGCCAAACCGGTTTCGGCCCGTATCTCTGATTTTATTATAATCAACAGTTAATAGTGTTCATCAGGTTTTTTGATTTCCTTATGTTTTTTTTTTAATAAACTTTTATATTTTTAAGAATAAATTTTAAAATCTAATAATTTTAAACCTTGTTTTTCCTGCCCTGGGAACTGAGAAGCAAACTTGTTTACATGTAAACTTGCCCTTAGGCTATCAAAAGGCATAGCCATTCAAATGTAAATGGACACATTGTTTAAAGATAACTGCTGGTTGGAATTGGATTACCTGTTCTGGGTGGGAAGGGCTTGTCTTCCCCTTTCTCCATTGAAATTAAGGTGTTAGCTTTAAAACCTCTTTTTGGCAAAAGACCTTAAACTTTCAGAACTTTAAATTTTTCAGGTAGTAAATCAATTAGAATTTTCTCAAATCAATAGATACACTTAACACAAAAGATACTTCCAAATAGATCAACCATCCTCATCCAGGCCCCACACAAGGCACTCACAGATCAACACCCCAGCGCTATAATAAATGAACACATCCAGATCTAAGCCTTCATCACTTGATTCAGCAGACCCTCAAGTTCCCCCAAAAGTTTCCAGCCATGTCTGAGAAGCAGCCCTGGGGCATGGGCAGGCAAGGAGCCTGGCTGCTTCGGGCCTGGCCTCTGTTGCTCTGGCCCTCTCCACAATCGGCTGCTCCGGGTCTGGCCACTGCCACTCCTGGCCTGGCTGCTCCCAG